GTGTCAAAGGTGAAAGCGAAAGCACCCGGGGGCGGTGTCAAAGGTGAGAGCGAAAGCACCCGGGGGCGGTGTCAAAGGTGAGAGGCGACCGGAGATCAGCGAACCTTAGACCTGACGCCAGGTCTAAGGTTTGGGAGCCAGGCAAGACGAGAACACGAGGCTGCCGTCACAGGGAGCGGAGCCGGTGGCCATGCCCCCTGCACTCCCTCCCTCCCCACCTCCTTCCCTCCCCACTTCCCACGCTGGGGTCTGGCAGTGGGTGGGTGGAAGGACAGACACATGGATGAATGGGTGAGTGCGTTTTTCCCCATGCCATAGGGTCCAAGGCCAGCCTAGTTATCAGGGGAATGGGGAGGAAAAGCACCTTGGACTCCACCACAGACAGAGACGTGGCATACACAGATCTGTCCTTCCCCAGGTTTTTATAATACAGCAATTTTTGCTGACACACGTTAGACCTGGCTTTGGTCTTGCGCCAGGTATGGGCTCAGGTAACTTAGGTTTGAGATTGCAAAGTAGAATTGTTTTCAGGAGCGTGGCTGATTTACTGTGTGTGAGAAGACACAACCACTTGTCTTGCAGAATGCTTCCGCTGTTGAGCTTGGGAGGTGCAAAGTGAGTAAAAACTGAGCATTTTACTGCCTGTTAATTAAGATAATAGCTACTTACTCCAGGCAGCTGGGTCTTAGTGTTTTGAAAAAGGCTACTCTTGTTAAATCTTCAATATCTTGAGAGAGAAATCACAGCATGTTTATGCATTGGGATAACGGGTCTGGAGTGAAAATGGCAAGATATGATAATTAAATATCTAAATGAAGATAGTTCTGTATTTCTATCACTCATCATCATAGTCAGTATCTTTCCTTCAAGTAAGATGTCTGGGAGTAAAACAGACTTCACAAAATCTAGTCCTAATAGTTATAGGGAGCAGGGTGAAAAGCAGAAGTCCTACAAGAAAGCTTAAAAACAATATCAGCCTAGTTTTGAAATGAGAAGCGTGTCTTGTGACTTCCAAGGCCTGAGCACTGTGGCTCAATTTCTTCTCATTTCTATGGTAAAAAGCCAAGTACAGATGCCTGAGAGTTGCACAGATTTCATACAGGAGCCCATGTGGAATCGCCATGAGAGGTTTTGGTCTGCAAGCAAAATTGGAGCGTTTCCGTTCATTTGGGAATGTGTGCATGGATTTACACTGTCACGGCAAAACTTGAGGTGGATATACTCAAGCCTGAGAGGAGATTTTACCCTTTTGCCAGAGGGAAGGAAAATGTTTCCCTTCCCAGGTCCTTCCCATCAGCTCTGCTGAGGCTAGAAGAGGATTTGAGGATCCTTTGAGGATGATTCCTAAAAACCCTATGAAAACCCAAATTGTCTGAGGCTCATAAAATTTTTTCAGCCCCAAAGCAGTTTAATGTGCCCCCTTCCCTTTCCCATAACTTGTTTCCCAAATGAGCTGACTTAAAGCCTTATTTTTTTTCCCAGGGCTTTGCATCAGTCAGTTGTTTGGTGCGAGTCTTTGACCCTGTGCACAGTTTCCCTGGCACAGCACAGGGGTAGGAAGGTGTTTCAGGACTTTGGAAGGGTCGGGGGCATGGAGCCCTTAGGCTGGGATTGCTGCAGCAAGAATCTTTGCCTACAGCAATGAGTGATGCTGAAAGGCAGTCTGTTCCCTTTTACCACTGGTTTGGACCTACAAGCTATGGTAGCATCATGCACCTAAATTAAGCATCTAATTTTTAGTAAAAAAAAAAGGCTGGAAGACTTTGAAGCCTTATGAAAGGACTGCTTTGTTGGTGCTAAGAGAAACTTGATTACCAGTTTGTGCTGCTGCAATAAGCACTCATCTCGTGCTCTGTTATTTTCATACCAGTCTCCTCTGCCTGAGCACATGACACATCTCAGATGCCTTTCACAGAATATTCTGAGTTGGAAGGGACCCACAAGGATCATCAAGCCCAACTCTTAAGTGAATAGCCCACACAGGGATCAAAACCATGACCTTGGTGTTATTGGCACCATGATCTAACCAACTGAGCTGATCTCAGGGTCTTTGTGAAGGGCTTTTACAAAAGAAGATGGTGGGAATGAGATGCCCAAACAAAGTGCTACGGCCTGGCTGGTGTAAATGCCTTGAAGTCCTCCTGAGTCCAGGTGAGTGTGTCCCTTGTGTGGGCTGTGTCATCTTCCCCTGGAAAGCTCTTCTCCAGGTCCTTGTGTGTCAGACCCCACTAGAGGGCACAGCTCATCTACCATTTAAGACAACAAGGATGCCTCTTCCCAGTCTCATTTCAGAACTGGGCAGCCAAACAGACACCAGTGAGTGAAGGTGAGTGGAGATACGGACTGAGGTCTCCTGCCAGAAGTGCATCTGGACAGACCACTTCTCTTTGGATGGGCCCTGTTGTCCAAACAACTAGGAGCTGAACCTTCGTGATAAACACTGTTGTGGTGTCAGAAAGCCAGATGTTTTTTTGTGTAACATCTCTGTCTGCTTGCCTGCTTCTTCAGCATGTGAATATCTTGCTGTCCTGAATGCTTAGAGTCAGACCTCCTTCAGTGTGGAGTACTTTGCAAATAGAAACTGTATCTGCATCAAAACTGGATGGGTAGAGCACCTGCAGAGTCCTGCACAAAGCTAGGTGTGCACCTTGCTCAGCTGTGCTTGTGCAGTGAAGGGTTCCTCACCTGAAATAAATTTTACCGGTAAAAACTGGACACTGGTTGTTTTTCCGAGGTCTAGGGATTGCATTTCATGTTATGCTTGCCTGATGTAATTACGTCATGAGAATTTGCAGGACAGGCCTGGCTGCAGGAGTGGTATGCACCAGCCCAGCAATGCACCACTTCAGCACCTGTAACCTCCTTGCAGACATTCCTGCACTGCTCCACCTCAGCCTTTTTCTTTGATTTTTAACTGTGAAGGAAAGGTTGGCATGTCAGTGGTGCACAGGAATGCCAGAGCAGGTCAAAATAAAACTCCTAGATTAAACATGGAAGAATAATTCCAATAATTTTGTATTCTGGCTCTGCCTGCTGTATAACTTGGGGCAGGATGCCTCTCCTTCTCCCTTTCTCTGCGTAAAAGGATGCACAAGGACACAGATCTTTATGGAGCAGTTTGGGAGTTCCTAGAGGGTTCTTTTCCAGTGGTTGTCTAGCAGTTGGTTCTTCCTGACTGTGCCTGCTGTGAGGAAGCATCCACATGAGCACTTTAAATCATCCCTTGCTTAAGGAAGAGCAGTTGAGTGGAAAAGGCAACAGGGTCTGGTAATGAGGGCACTACCCTGAGATGAAAACAGAGACTGAAACCTCAGCTTTGCCGCTTGTCTACCTGTGGG